ACACACACACATACACACACTCACACATGCATACACACACTCACATTCACACACACATTCTCACACATACACACACTCATACACACGCACATTCACACGCACTCTCACACACACTCATACACACACTCATACACATGCATACACACGCACATTCACACTCACACACACTCATATTCACATATGCACACGCACATCTCTTTGACACACACACTCACACATATTCTCACACATACACACACACATACACACACTCACACACACTCACACACACACATTTTCACACACACACATACACACACTCACACACATTCTCACACATACACACACATTTTCACACACACACATTCTCACACACACACACTCACACACATTCTCTTACACACACACACTCACACACACATACTCACACATGCATACACACATGCACATTCACACACTCATACACACACACACTCATATTCACATATGCACACGCACATCTCTTTGACACACACACACTCACACACATACACACACTCACACACACATACTCACACATGCATACACACATGCACATTCACACACTCATACACACACACACTCATATTCACATATGCACACGCACATCTCTTTGACACACACACACTCACACACATACACACACTCACACACACTTATACTCACACATGCATACACACATGCACATTCACACACTCATACACACACACACTCTCATACTCACAAATGCACACGCACACCCCTTTGACAGCCATGCACCGGATACAGCTTTAATGTTTTACTTATATTCACTCATTTCACCTCCCCCCAGTTCTACCCTCCACCTTCCTGTGAGGGGCCCTGGGGTGTAGAATAGGACACCCCCTCCGGCCTGTACAGCCACAGCCCCATTCAGTCTGGCATCCTCATGGATCACAGTGACGACGTCACAGCCACAGAGCAAGCTCGTCATCGAGACGCACACCGGGGATGGGGGACGGCGCCGCCTTCGCCGCCAGGGAGACTGAGGCGGGCACTCACACACTCACACACACACACACACACACACACACTCACACGGGGTGGTGACGGGAGGCCTGGCGGGGTGGAGTGGCGGAGGGAGAAAGGCCCAGAGCAGAAACGCCCGCGTGGCTTCTGAGAGGCACCAGGAGGAGGGGTTCTGGCTGCGGGAGGGGTTGGTCGTGAGAAGACAGGGCTGTGGGGTCCGTCTGGATGCTGGAGGCGGTATCTGGCGGTGGACGGAGAGGGACAGACCGGCCGAGATGCCCAGAGGGCACGGGGGCAGGGCTGCGCCCAGGGCGGCAGCTGCCTTTGCTCCTCTGGCCGGTTCTTCGAAAGCCACACACCTAGAGCGAGATGGGCCCCCCGCTGGGCCTGGCCTGCGCGCTCCTCCCGTCCCTCCACGCGGCTCCGTGCTGGGGCAGAAACCAAGCGGGCCGTCGCCTGGTGCCACCCATCGGAAGGGTGTCCTGAGGACGGCGAGTGCCTGCGGCCACGGGTCCTCCCCGGTCCCAGCAGGGAAGCGGCTGATGGGGAGGGAGCGGGGTGCTGGCCTCAGGGTGCCTCCCGGGCCCTGGCCCTCCGTGACCCCGCGCCCCGCCTGCCAGGCAGGCCAGCCCTGACCTTGGCTCTCGTCGGCTTTAAATAGACGGCGCACCAGCCCGTGGCTGGGTGGGGTTTTGCAGGATCAGGCCTCACCGGCTGCCGTGGCCAACGATCCTTTCGTGGGCGTGTCCTGGGCCTTTTCTGTCAGGCGGGCGGAGCAGCGAGGACACCCTGCTCTCTCTCACTTGGGGAGGAAGACGGTTTGGGTTTGAAGTGTTTTGGGGAGCAGGTGGGGGGATAGGTGGCATGTTTTGTCTTCATTTCTTTTGGTTCCGTTTCATGCTACACGATTAAGGAGAAAGTCTGTTATGTGGGTGTTCCTAGGAGGCCTGACCATCATGCTTAGTCAAACCTTGGTATCCTGGTGTGGGAAACAGAAAAAGAAGTAATAACAGTGAGAGCAGCACACACAGTTTGGATGGTTTTACTCATAGTAACTCCTTTCCCCTCCCCCCAGTCCCACCAGGTACCTGTGTACCCATCTTCTAGGTGGGAGCACTGAGGCCCCGCGTGTAAGTGACGTGTCCGGAGGGAAATGTACGGGCATAGCCTTGTTTACGGAACCTACTGCGTCTCCCCCGTCTGTCCACTACGTTTCCTTAGCCCGAGTGTTGACTATAAGTTTTGTTTGGCCAATTCCATGAGCGCCTCTAACAACATCTAGCATTGAAACATAATATTTAACACCAACCAGCATTGAGTATTTCTGAAATACAGAGAATCTTTTAATTTAGCCTGTCCTCAGCCTTAGGGGTTCGATCTCTCCGAACCCTAGAGGTACAGGCAGCCCTAGAGTTGAAGGCCGATTGGGGGTCTTTTCCCCATGTTTGCCCTGAGTTTATATAAAGGGGAGGCGGGGTGGGGAAGGAGTGGGTAGCTGGCCATCCCATCCCACATCCCCTGGGGTCTCGACTGGAAAGAAAACAGACCCGGATCTCTCTCCATCCTGTGTTGTTGATGGGGGATTAAGCGCTGCCTCTGTGTGAAGTGTTACAGTGTTTGCGCTGTAACTGTGCGCAGTGCTCCATTGTTACCGTAGGGAGCGGCTCAGACCTGAAGCAAAGCCCCACTCCAGGGCGGGGGGAGAAATCCATGGCGGCGCTGAAGCCGTGCACCTTGGGGTTCGAGGGCGGGTACGTCCGCGGTCAGTCCGCGGCAGGTGCGTGCCGGCCGCCGCTCATTCTCCTGCTCTTCTGTCCACAGGGAAGAGCTTCACGCTGACCATCACCGTCTTCACAAACCCGCCGCAGGTCGCCACTTACCACCGCGCCATCAAGATCACCGTGGACGGCCCCCGGGAACCTCGAAGTAAGTGGGCCCCCCGGGGCTGGCACGCCCCCGGCGGGCACGCTCGGGCGCCAGGGACAGTGTCCTAGAGACCTTGGGTCCCGCTGGCGTCGCTCAGATGTGGCTACAACCTCTGCCAGCGGGGATGCGTGCCGGGCCCCTGCAGGGGGAGGAATTGTACTCTGACGCTGTCTCTCTCCGAGGCAGCCTCTGAGCTCTTTCCGAAACGTCCTCAGAGGGCAGAGGGGGTGAGGCCGACTCACGCACATGTCAGAACCAGGCCGGGCTGCGGGAGAGGAAGCACGCGTCCCTCAATACATGGAGTCCAACAGGATCAGAGACAAGCAGTGAATGGACGTGGGCAGGCACAGGGGCGGCCGAGAAAAGGCCTGGGGTCAGAGTGGACCACAAGGGCCTGATCCCATCCGTGCTGGCTGTTTTATTCGTTTGTGAAGGCTGGAGATGGAAACCATGAAAATGACCGTTTTCTTTGGGTGGCACAGATGGAAATCTTATTACAGGATTGTTTAAAATAGAGAAAGGGAGGGTAGGAGGATGCTTTGGGGTTGGGGGGAGGGGGGGGGAACCGGTAAATATAGAAAGATGGCACCGAAAAAACAGCTCCTATGAGGAGAGCTTTTAAAAGGAGTGGGTTGTTTAGTCTGCAGAGGGATGTCTTGCTGGTGACTTAATGACTATCTTTGGGTAAACACGGGAGTAACACTCTTTTCCAAGCCGCACCCTTCCCGGGTGGAGGCCGGGCTCCCCGTCCAGATCTGTGGCGCTGCCTGGGGCCCCGCCCAGTCCGGGTGCCTCCGCAGTATCGGGGTCCCCGGCGGAAACTCATACTCTCTGCTCAGGGGGGACATTCAGCACCTGGGCTTCCTGCTGGTCCTGGAGGCTGAGCTGCAGGGAGGCCGGGCTCTGAGACGCGGAGATAAGGAATCTGGGCTCGGGGGGCAAACAGGGGGGTCTGGTTCAGGCACTTACACCTCCAGCAGGTCACGGAGCCCCCCTGACCCTCGGGTTCCTCGTCTGCAGAACAGGGATTCTACTGAGCGCTTCTGTGTGAGGTTGAACGGGATCGTGAGCGCCTGGCAGGGATGGAACGGGGGTCAGGGGGCCCTGGAGAGCCCCCCACCCGCCTGCATCTCCCTGGCGTTGCTCCGGCCGGGCCCTCTGAGGACTTTCGTTGTGGGGGAGCTGTGAGGCCGCCCTGGGCGTGGCTCTCTACGTGTCGCCCTTGCTCAGAGCACCTGTGGCAGTCTAGTCTGTCCTGTGGTCCCGGCCACAGCCTCCTGGCCGGCTGGTCCCCTGCTAGAACCATCCCAGGGCCTGCCTCAGCTTCCCCGGTGCCCGGAGTGGGAAGAGCCCCTCAGAAAACGGCCCCCACCAGGACGGCCCCCGGGACACGGTGTTCGTCCAATGCCCCCTTGGTTCCACGTGCCACCCTCCCGGGCTCCCTCCCATCTGAGCTTCTCTCCCCGGCAGCTTTCTCTGGCCCCGCCCAGACCCAGGAAACCCCGGTCTCGGTGACATCCTATTCCAACTTCTGTGTGAAAAGCAGGGACCACCAGTGACCACCCAACCCCGGAGCGCCCGGGAGCACGGGAGGGTCCCCAAGTGGGAATGGGGAAGCGAGGAGAGCAGGGACCTGCTTTACACGGGGCGGGGGCGGGGCTCTCCCGGAGCAGAAGGAGCCGGGCTACCTGACAGCAAGGCCCGGGGGCAGAGGGCCCGGGGGCAGAGGGCCCGGGGGCAGGTGGGTGGGGAGGGATGGACACTGAGGGTGATGCTCTCCTAGGGGGACTCACTCGGGGGCTGTCGAGTCTCCCAAAGGGCGGCCTGCCTGGAGGAGGGAGCTCACACCACAGACCCCGCCCTCTGCCCTCCTGACCGTCACCAAGGCCAGGGTGGCCCCTCGCTAGTGTCTGCTGTCACCTCCAAGGCCCTGAGAGGTGGTTGGAGACGGACGGTGCGGGGCCTCCTCAGAGCCCGCTGCGGGGGAAGCGGGTGGTGGTGGCCGGGGTCTGCCATCCACTCGCCTGCCCTGGCCTCTCCCTCCAGGAGCAGCCAGTGTGGCCGAGGGTGGGGGCTGGCCGAGGGGACCCCCGGAGAGGCGCCTGTGTGTGGCGTCTTTCCTGGAAGTGAAAGTTAAATGAGCACGTATGTGCCTGACATAAAGAGGCGTTCTCGGTGCAGGGACACAGCCTCAGTTTCCCCAGCGGTCCTGGGAAAAGGCAGAGGCCGCCCCGGGCCGGACGCTGCTGTCCTCTCAGCTGTCAGGGAGGGGGCGTGCGGTTTTCCTGCTGTGTCTGCCCGCCTTGTTCACGGTGGGAAGTTCTTCTTTTTGATGAAGCTCTGCTCACCGCTTTTTTTTTTTTAAGAGAAAGTTAAGTTTTTCCAGCTTTATTGGGACGTCAGCGACATGGTGTGTAAGTTTAAAGTCTCCGAAAGGATCCGCCTACACGTTTATGCTGTGACATGCTTATCACAGGAGGTCGGCCAGCACACCATCGCCTCACACAGCTCAGTGAGCGTGTGTGTGTGTGTGCGTGTGTGTGCGCGCACGTGTGTACGAGCGTGTGTGTGTACACGTGTGTGCGCACATGTGTACGAGCGTGTGTGCATCCACGTGTGTGTGTGCGTGTGTGTGTGTGGTGAGAACTCTCAGAGCCACTCTTTGGCAGCGTCACGTGTACACTGAACACATGCTGTTCACTAGTCACACCCGTACATCACAGCCCAGGGCTTAGTCCTCTTCTACCGGAAGTGCGTACCCTGTGACCAATTCACTCATTCTCCCCCCTCCCTCCCCTGGCAGCCACCGGTCTTCCCTGTGCCTCTGAGTTCCGTTCTTTAGGTTCCGCAGTGAGGTCACACAGCCCTTCTCTTCCTGTCTGACTCAACTCACTCAGCATAATGCCCTCGAGGTCCATCCGTGTCCTGGCAAATAGCAGGATTCCCTTCGTTCTCATGGCTGAGTAATACTCCACTGTGTGCGATACACACACTCACACATACACACACACTCACACACATACACTCACACACTCATACACACACTCACACTCACACACACTCACACATATACTCACACACTCATACACACATACACACACACTCACACACACTCACACATACACACTCACACACTCATACAGACTCACATACACAAACACATACACGCACACACACTCTCACACACATATACTCACACAACTCACACACTCATACAGACTCACATACACAAACACACATACACGCACACACACTCTCACACACTCACACACATATACTCACACACATACACACACACTCATACACACATACTCATACACTCACACTCACTCATACACTCACACACGCTAACACACATACACTCACACACACATACACATACATACACACTCACACACATACATACACTCTCACACACACACACACTCACTCACTCATATACTCACACACACACACACACACACACACTCATCACTGCCTTTTCTTCATCCATCCACCCATCGCCCATCGACAGGCACGTAGGTTGCTCGGTGTCTGGGACATTGTGGCTGATTCACAGTCACCTCGGATGTGGTGTGAGAGGTCCCTGCATGTAGATTAGGAGCCCGGACAACGTCACGTCTATGATCACAAGACCCCCAATATCCTTCTCATTATGGTGCTGGGGGTTCTGGGTAATTCTTGTGGAATGGCCTGGCATGGCCAAGTCAAATAGTTTTTTGGTGTTTTGTTTTTTTAGTATATTTTTTTTATTGATTTCAGAGAGGCAGGGAGAGGGGGAGAGAGAGAAATATCAGTGATGAGAGAGGATCATCGATTGGCTGCCTCCTGCACGCCCCCTACTGGGATCGAGCCTGCAACCCAGGCATGTGCCCTGACCGGGAATTGAACTGTGACCTCCTGGTTCATAGGTCAACGCTCAACCACTGAGCCACGCCGGCCGAGCTTATTTCTTACATTTGTAGGACCTAATTAAAGCCTCTGGCTTGGTCCATGCGTCTGTCATTTAGTCCGTGTGTCTGTGATACAGTCGTGTTGATGGGCAGATGCTCCGCGAGAGGACTTGAATGTGCGCCTCAGCTCGGTGCTGGGCGGGAGGATGTTTTGCTGAGCAGAGGGTGAGGAGGACGAGCCGTTGGCGCCTCGCTGACCCCGTGGCGGGGGGTGGGGGGCGTCCCCGTGCTGTGGGGTTTAGACGGTCATGCTGATGTCATGAGCCGTCACCTGTCTAGCCAGGAGTCTGTTACATCTGGAACACTGAGTAACCCCATTAAAAACGGAAAAGGTTAATAAAACAAACATTGGCCACTTCTGGGGTGACGTCTGCCCTGGGGTGGAAGGAGTCGGTCACAGTCACGGCGCTGGGAGTCCGGGGCCGGGGGACGGCTGGGGGCTCTGGGATATGCTGTTTCCCGCGGCACTGGTGTCAGGCCAGCGAACGTTGTTTTTAAATAGGGAGTTACAGTCCAAGTCATTCGACTGAAGGCCTGGTGCCGTCACTCACTCGCTTTGCGAAGGGCTGTGTTGAGATTCATCAGCAGCGAAGGCCATTTCTTCTGTGCTTCTGAGTGCAAATAGCAAGCCCATCATAGATGCGCGGAGGGGACACGGGACCTGTATTAGGTAGAGGGCAAGTTTGTCTCAAGTGAAGAGAGGACGGTGTGAGGGTCCCTCTAACCCTCGGGTGTGATGCACCTGAAATACTAAAACCAGGCCGACCCAGGAAGAGGCGGATGAGACGTGTCCGCAGGCTGCTCCTGTGGTTGACGGAGAGTTATTTTCTCTTAATCATGAAAACTGATAATAAGAACAGCCCCCAGTGCTGTTTGCCCAGCACCGCTCGCCGCGCTGGCACGGGTGCTGATGCAGTCTTCGCCAGAGCAGGCAGGGGAGGCTGAGCCAGGGGGTGGAGCC